AACTAATGCGTGAATGAATTAGCCTTTACGAATGACTGTAAATAAATGACTGCAAATAAGTTAAGATATTGGAATCCGAAATGTGTCACTGCAGGAGGATAACTGCGCCTAAACAGGATCCAAAGGGTGACTAATGTAGACGTAAGAAAAAAAGGTTTCACATAGAAGAAGAAGACTTGATGTTGAGAAGGAGACTGGCACGATTTGGACACATGTAGGATGAACAACGGAAAATTAAAAGCGGGTTGTTGGGGAAAATGGAAGGAACCGGAAAGAGAGGAAGACCGAGCAGAGAACGGCTTGACGACAACGAGATTGGTGCCAGAAAAAAGATGCGGCCACGACTTTGAGCACATTGGCACGAGAAGACAGAAGAGGAAAGTGGCAACAAGTGACAGAAATGTGGCAGTGGACACCTACGGGACTATCTGACCATGGACCGTGATGACGACGACGATGTAGATGATGATGAAATACGCAGATGGGTGAGGTCGATCCAGGTATTGCCCCAGAACAGGACACACTGCACTCGTCACTGCTCATCCACGTGGTGACTCCTCCTCCTCGAAGCCTTCACCCGAGGTAATATCGAAACAAACCCATTACAGGACAGGACTTCTTTGTAAGTGATGTTAAGCTCATTAGGCAGAAAAGTCCGTGCAGGCCTAACACAAAAAGATTAACAATATATGCAGCCCTGTTTTATATTAACAACTCACATTTCTAACCGTATATTTTTTAGTTTGCCTGAAAATTACTTTTTTGCAAGTATTAGCCGTTTTGACCATTTTGCATTCATCATACCAAGTGCAATTTCTTGAATTATTATCGTTGTTGAAGAAATGAGATGGATATTGAGAGATAAATAATCTCCCAGCCGCTTTTTGCTTTCGTTTGCTGCCTGGCTCTTTGTATCTCCACAACGGCATGTATGCACATGCTTCCATTTCTACCTTCAGCTTTTGAATCGAAATGTTACACACTCGTTGCTTGTGATGGATTTGCTGAGAATTGTGGCTGCCTTGACTTTATTATAAACTCACCCATGCAGTGTTACAGTAATTAAGACTTACCTGCACGTTTGGTTAAATATTAAAACTAAACGAGGGGACACACGCACAAAGCCTTGACTGTTAATACAATTTTAAGTTCTATAAATAGATTCATGTTTTGGTAGTAATAGATTTCAATATCCAATCATTTATGATAGAGTCTCAATTGCAAGTTCTTCATTTCGAAATTGTTCTGAATAATAATAAAATAAACTGTTGTGTGAAATTAAAATGTGCAGAATTTGAAAGTTATTCATAATTGAATAGTTGAATGTATTCAAAAGAAAGTTATTCATTTCACAACTGCTAAATGAGTTGGCCATATGCCTTAGATTTTATGATCATCAAGGTTGTGTCGTATGATTACTAATTTTCTCTTTTAAAGGAACACTCTGCAGAAGCCCCCCTGCCTCTCATATAATGATCCATTCAGCTGGCACGTGGCTTATTACATGAAACAAATTTAAATTATGTCATTCGAGAGGCCAAGAGAGGTGTTGCTGCAATGCAGTGAAGAAGAATGTCCTCTGCCCAGCACGCCCCTTGTTATGTATACTTTCTTTTAAAAAGCCACAGTGTTATTGCCAGTTTTTGTTGTTATATGTGCACCACTGCCAACGCAGCATCGACAAATAGTGTCTGTGAAACACAGCTCATTCCTCAGTGATAGCCTCGGGCTATAAGAACGGTTGCAAATAAGAGATGCAATGATTTGATTGAGCTAACAATCATGAATTACCTGAGCCTGTGATTACAATGCATATGTTCTCGTAAAAATAAAACAAGTTCCCATTACGGATGAAGCAAAGCCATCCATTGTGAATTAGAGCTTGACGATTGGGGCTGGTCATGTTTTAATGTGCAAGGCAGGGGAATCAGAATCATAGAATAAACAGCAGACTATAAAATCTGGGGAGGGGGGGGGGGATAACAGAACAGGAGAGATAACTCTGTTCAAATAAAAATGTAAATAATTTTGAAACCCCATCTATGCATTATATATGTTTAGAGACATATACAAATCTGTAAGTGTCTCCGGATGTCAGATATATCTATTATCATGTAATTTTACTAAAACATATAATATTACTGCTCAATGTTCTTTCAGTTCTGCCCAGTGGTTGCTTAAAACTTCACCATACCGACCCAGGGAAAACATTAGTTGTGCCGAAATGTGTGCAAGCAAATTCTGCGAACGACTGATATACTGTAAGTGCCACATATCCATATTCTTGGGTCTTTCGGTAAATTCACGTAGATAGGTTCAAAGAAAATAGCAAGAAAATAACAAAAAAACTACGACATTTCGATCGCAACACAAGCGATCGTCATCAGGAGAAAAATTAGCGGGAAAGCTGCTGAAGCAGGCTGTTTTAAAGGTTTGAAATGGGTGTAGCCCAAGGGTCATAAACGAAGTGGGCGGGGCTTGTGATGTTAATGTGAGAAATTTGCATTTCAATGTAAGATCGGAGAGCTACCTCCATGATGACGAAGCTACGGAGGTGTCCATTGTATTGTGAGAGATTAGCATGTCAATGTAGGACGAAGCTGTGGAGGTGGCCATTGTATTGTGAGAGATTAGCATGTCAATGTAAGACGAAGCTATGGAGGTGTCCATTGTATTGTGAGAGATTAGCATGTCAATGTAAGACGAAGCTATGGAGGTGTCCATTGTATTGTATGAGATTAGCATGTCAATGTAAGACGAAGCTACGGAGATGGCCACTGTATTGTGAGAGATTAGCATGTCACTGTAAGACGAAGCTGCGGAGGTGTCCATTGTATTGTGAGAGATTAGCATGTCAATGTAAGACGAAGCTATGGAGGTGTCCATTGTATTGTGAAAGATTAGCTAGTCAATGTAAGACGAAGCTACGGAGGTGTCCATTGTATTGTGAGAGATTAGCATGTCACTGTAAGACGAAGCTGCGGAGATGGCCATTGTATTGTGAGAGATTAGCATGTCACTGTAAGACGAAGCTGCGGAGGTGTCCATTGTATTGTGAGAGATTAGCATGTCAATGTAAGACAAAGCTACGGAGATGGCCATTGTATTGTGAGAGATTAGCATGTCAATGTAAGATGAAGCTGTGGAGGTGGCCATTGTATTGTGAGAGATTAGCATGTCAATGTAAGACGAAGCTATGGAGGTGTCCATTGTATTGTGAGAGATTAGCATGTCAATGTAAGACGAAGCTATGGAGGTGTCCATTGTATTGTATGAGATTAGCATGTCAATGTAAGACGAAGCTACGGAGATGGCCACTGTATTGTGAGAGATTAGCATGTCACTGTAAGACGAAGCTGCGGAGGTGTCCATTGTATTGTGAGAGATTAGCATGTCAATGTAAGACGAAGCTATGGAGGTGTCCATTGTATTGTGAGAGATTAGCTAGTCAATGTAAGACGAAGCTATGGAGGTGTCCATTGTATTGTGAGAGATTAGCATGTCACTGTAAGACGAAGCTACGGAGGTGTCCATTGTATTGTGAGAGATTAGCATGTCACTGTAAGACGAAGCTGCGGAGATGGCCATTGTATTGTGAGAGATTAGCATGTCACTGTAAGACGAAGCTGCGGAGGTGTCCATTGTATTGTGAGAGATTAGCATGTCAATGTAAGACGAAGCTACAGAGGTGTCCATTGTATTGTGAGAGATTAGCATGTCAATGTAAGACAAAGCTACGGAGATGGCCATTGTATTGTGAGAGATTAGCATGTCAATGTAAGATGAAGCTGTGGAGGTGGCCATTGTATTGTGAGAGATTAGCATGTCACTGTAAGATCGCAGAGCCACCCCCACATCGAGGAAAACGAGCAACATTTAACCTGTTAATGTAAGGGCATTTAACCTGTTAATGTAAAACCGGAGAGTCGAAAATAACTACTAACTACACATCCACTCGAGTCCCCGCTGAACCAGTTTCTCCATCGATATCATCTCAAGGGATTGGTGGGGGAGTGGGGGGGGTGTACCCTCCTGGCTGCAATATGAGATGTGGACTGCACTCTGAAAGTGCAGTACAACACCGCATATGCGCCCGACGAGTTCGCCATCAACACCCAGTGCTCGGTGTCGATTTCATGTTCTGCAGATGTTCGCAAATGGAACCTTTTCACGGAGCGACGTCGTTTTATTTTTAAAATCTCGAGTCCTTTCGCCTCGATTCGGAAGCACAGTCAAGCATTTGACCCATATTTTAAGCAGTTTCTACTCGAGTTGTGTGCCCAACAATCTATTTGTGGTGGCAAAACTGTATTTTTTCGTAAATGATTTGATATAAAACTTTGTTACGTATCCGCCTAGACCTCACTTTCCAGGGAGTCGGGAATGCGACTTAATACTGTATTACACTTAAGAAACATTAGGTGACACAATGAAGATACAATGTCCTGTGATCATAGCTGTCAACCCATACGGTTTACCCGTATTCTTGTACAGGGAAATTTAGTTTTCAGGTCCATACGGCGTACAGTCGTTTAAATATGGGCAAAACAATGTTGTCTATTTGTTTGTGTTTCTCCCTTGTGGTGGGACTTTGTAGGATGAACGTTGAGATGTATAAGGGGCAAGGGGGGTGACCAATAAGGTCTGAATTGGTCTGTAATAAGGCAGGGCACTGGCAAGGGGTTGGCAGGTTTGGGTGACACACACGAAAACTCGGTCTCAGTTTTCATTTTCATGATTTTCCTCGTTTTTATTACAAACTTTAAAACTGAGAGGGGTGAATCGCATTGTACATCGTTGCAATGGTTTGTGCTCAACTGCATGACGATGATGCTTTTTTTTGTTACTACATTGTGTTTATCGTGTGTAAACACTGATAAAATATTCCGCTTCTATAACTTTATCTTCAATCTGCAACCATTTGTAAGGACCCTGGGGAGAGAAGTGAATTGATCTTAAACCAGAGAACAAGAAAAATAAACAGAACACATGACAAAAAGTGTCGATCCAAAGGCATGAATGTAATTGTTTCATCGATTAATCAAGACAAAAACAAATCTGTCTACTTCACAGTGAACAGTACTTTAAGAAAGAACTATTGCAAACCAAATGTAATCACACTCATATGAAATGTGCCAATAATAGCCGGCATAGTATAAAATAAACTACGTTTATCTATGATCCCCTTATGAAGAAAAAAAAATGTACAACAATTAAATGGACATTTGCTTAACAGCTACATTATAAATTCCAGTTTTGACCGTAAGTTGTATAGCTTTATACAATACTGATTACAAAAAGCCACACTAATTCCATAGCATCAAAAATAAAACAGGTTTTAAAATTGCCTTTTACATGCACGGCTGGCTGCCTGTAGCCCAAGCACTTCGGAGCCATTTCTATTTACGAGTTTGCGTAATTCGGGATCAAACGATAAGGTTAGTTGCACCGATCGGGTTTGTCTACGCACAAATAGATTTTCCACCCAAGGCACAATGCCTTTTCCGTCTTGGTCACTCACAGATTCGTTGTTGTTGTTGTTGTTGTTTTCGTTCGTCGTACTTTTATCAATTTAACATTCCTAAAAGGGAAATTGTCTTTGGAAATTAAACGACGAAAAAAAGCGTGCCATACAAGTCGGACCTTTCGTCCATCAACACACAAACAGCAGGGGGTGTTCTCCTGTTGGTGATATTCGACACATTGCCAGGCCTTGCCTTACTTTTGAATTGTTTTCTCAGTCCGGCACTCCGTGGTGCATCACTTGCGTAGCAATGGGCCCAGGGAATCAGCAATGGTGACACGTGTTAGGAGGTTAATTTATTGACGTCACCATGCACAAAAGAGAGAATATTTCTGAATGCTCCACTGAGACATGTCCTTAGCACCCATGAAGCCCCGCGTTATTTCGGAGCACCCTCGATGCTGCAGAAATGAAGAAATCCTTGGACAGAATCAATACGGCTTATATTCCCCGTCTTGTCAAGGAAATCTGGGTGTGGGGGTCTTTAGGACCATGATTAATTGCTGTAATCTCCCTCCTTTGGATCCACACCTGTGCTCAGTGACGCACGCTTATTGTTTGGCATTCAGCAGGGGTCAGGCTAACGGGGCTGACTTAATGAGGCAGGCCGCACCGGGGAGGGAAAAATCTCCGATCGAAACGAAGGCACAACCTAAACTGATGCTTCACTGCGAAGGGGACAGGCGAGTGCTCAGTATTCAGTCTGCACCGGAGCGAGGCACATCGACGCCCAACTTGGTGATTTCAAACAAACGTGACGCGCCCCAACTTGTGGAGTCGTCCGTGCTGCTTTCTTTGCGAAAGCTGCCACCCGGGAACACATCCTCTCGTCTGTGCCAAGAGCCCAAGAGAGCGCACGCGATGCATCCCGTCCAAGAAGAACGGCGCGGTCTTCAGCACTGCTCCTCCTGCATGACCTCGGGCACTCTGTTGAGGTCGATGAAGGCAGTCGGAGCGGATATCCTGCGGCTTTGGGGGTTGGCAGCAGAGGAGGTTGGCAAGGAGATGCCGCAAGCGCCGCCCTCCACAGCGTCCGACAGGGAGATGACCGAGGGCGCCTCCTCCTGCAGCAGGCTCTGCTGCGTCTCGGGGTCACGCACCAACAGCAGCCGCCTCCGGCAGCGGAACTCCAGCACCGTCTTGGTGTACGAGTTGAGGGTGGTCACCGAGGCCGCCATGCAGCACGTGAAGGAGCCCCACGCCAAGCTGTCGAAAGAACGTGAAGGAACGACGCGAATTAGGCTCGCGATGATGATGATGGCGGTGATAATAAGGCAGGCTGGATTATTGTGTGGCGGGATCGTTGGGAGAGGTGCTGGCGACTTTGGGGAAGCGTTCGGCCAAGAGTGGATTGACTGTGGCTGATGATGATGATACTAAGGCTGTGATTGTTTAGAAAGCTTCTGTTATGTGCTGTTGAAGATCGCTCAACAATTTTGGGTAAAAAGCCGGAATTACTCCATCGTACACAAGGGTTGTTGTCAAAGTTTTAACCACGCAATTCAAAATAATGTTTATAATTCTTAAATGAAGGATTCTATCCTAAAGTAAACGCTGTTTTTTTATGTGGAGAGATAAAAGGAGGTCTGTTTACATGCTGATTTAGAAATACCCTAGAAGTTCACATTGTGGGTACGAACACCACAATTAATCCACGACTGGACAAATGCTTTCCATACTGCCTTGCCAGTCGTGGGGTTCGATTGCCTGCTTGTCCTTCGCCTTGATGGTGACTGCGAGTTGATGATGGGGACACATCAGGACGGGCTCAGATGTCGCTCACAACTGATGTTAGGCCGTAGCCAGAAATCAAACTCATAGTTGTCAAATTCACGTGCAGTGAATGTAGCAACTTTGCCTCCGGCTCCACCCAAGAGTGATATATTTGCATGAGCACGTGGTAATATGGTAGTAATATGGAGGTAATATGAACACGTGGTAATATGCGCATATATGTAGTAGTATGAGACATCAGGTTGGTGGTAATCGTAAACAAAAGATAAGGAGGATTTTTATCCAAGAGATGGCAGAATTGCAAATAAGACACTAAATACAATAGTGACATTTTGCCTTAAAAAGTCATCATATAGTGCTCTACCTTTCTTGGGAAAAAATATATTTTCTATTTATAAAATAACTCCAAATATTATTTCTTGAATGAGATTGAAATTCGTTGCCTTTTTATTTTTTCTTTCATGTCGTCTGCATCATGTCAGATGTGGTGACGACATTGAAACATACAGCAAACAGTATACCATCGTGTTTAAAAAAAATGTCCCAAGAGAAGACAGTGTTACAGAGTTATTTCTTAAAAGTGTATAATAATATAGACCTCACATTAAACACAAAACAATGTAATCACTCACGTTATTTTGGCGAAAATCAGTAACAAAATAAATAAGCAATCTATATGTCCTTCATATGACTATCTCTGCAAATATTAAAAAATAAATCACACTTTTCATCAAACACAATGCCTTCTGGGAGTGCCGGACTCTCCTGATGAAACAGTTTACTTGTGTCGAACCAATGCTGTTGAAATTATGCAACTCCCATTTATGAACGTGACCTGACCCACAACCGACCCAAAAACCACATCTCCGGCCCGAGCTGAAACCAACCTGACCCAGTTTAGGACTCTACCCTGAAGCAGTTTGGAACGAACGCGTATTGCCTTGTTAACTGTATTACAGAAACACACTCCCGTAAGATTCAGTGAAACAATCGAATATATCAAGTGCAGTTACGGATATTTATTGCATTAAACTTTTACCGTTTGCATGATTAAGATTAATCAATTGTTAGTGCAGGTGTAATATGCAGCATAGCATGTCTACTCGAGCTCTGCGATGTATACGCTTGTCATGCAGTTGCCGTAAAGCAGTCACTTAATTTTAAGTTTCCCTTGGAAAGCGCCTTTTCTTACCAGATGGTTGTTACAACAATGAAAGATAGTTGTTACAATAAGTAAAGATGGTTGTTACAATAAGTAAAAGTGACACTGAGTACGTCTGGTGAACGTTGATCCAACACCAATGTCATGGGGGCCTCAAGGGTCAACCCAATCGGCCTTTCCCCACACAGATCTGCCACTGATGTCAGTGTGATACAAGTAAACATGGAAACTTGGTGAATGGGGCATTGCCGTGTTTACATATATGCAGTACTTTTTCCTCTCCAGATTTTTGCCACTAAGTGGCGAGATGTATCATCTGATCCAACTACACATTAGATGAGCCACGGGATGGTTTGTTTTCTTCCTCTGTGGGCATAAAAACAAGAGAAATGTGTCAAAGGAAGGAAGAACAAATTTGACCTCAGGTCTTCGCTCATTTACCAGCTTCACATTCCCTATTGCCGTTCAAAAACCGGAGGAAGGGCCTTTGCTATTGATGCCCCCAGAGTCTGGAATGCTATTGCCAATAAACTGCAACTTGAATCGCTACCAATGAGATCTTCTCTCAAAACTGCTCTAGAGGAGTTGTACACCCCTAGCTGCCACTGCTATTCATTGGCGTAAAATAAAATAAAATGTTTCGCTCCGGATGACGCTGCAAAGTATTATCTGTATTTTGATTTAGCTTGCTGATCTTAAAAGTGCATTGAAAAATGTGATACTCCGACTGATGCCTCTGTTGTTGTGGAGTAACTCATGCAGCAAGCTATGGCTCTAGGATTTGGTGTTACATGTTATTTATGTAGTTTATTGTAAAAATTCGGTCACAGTCCCTGTGATCACTGTTACGTTGCAATTACGGCTTTATTTTTTGGTGATTTGGAAAAGTTTTTTTGGTTTGGACATGTTTGTTTTGTTGTAGTACGGAGTTAGACTGATGGCCTTAATCTAAGTTTTCTTGTGGTTGTTGTTGTTGTTGTTGTTTGTCTTGCATCCCACTGGGATTTTTTCAGGAATATTTTGCTTTTTTTCTTGGATTTTCTATTTGCACAGTCACATAGTCACTTTAAGATGTTTTTCTTGTTCATGTTTTTGTTTTTTTGTTTGTTGCGGTTGCACCCGATTCAAGAGCCGAATGGCTCACAGGGCTATACCAAAATAAATAAACTGAAACTGAAAACTGTACTTTGGCGACAACTCTTACGGATCGTGGCAATGTTTACAAATGATGGGTCAATCTGCTGGAATTAGGAGGTGAGTCATGTTTTTGGTGACTCGAGATAGTTGTAGGCCAGTTGACACTTCAACTTCAGCCCATGTCACCTGTGTTAGAGAGGCTGATTTTGGGTGACAGGTCTGAAGGAATTACATATTTCAAGGTCATTGTGGTATCTACAGTATGTGTGTAGAACTTCTTTCACACCGCACATAGCCAACCGTGCTAATCGGAGGTGCGGTGGAAGGATAACAAACTATGGATCTGTGTGTGAGTCTATGGGTCTCTGTATTAGTCTGTGTATGTATCGTCTTTGGTTCTTTCGGTAAAGTCACGTAGAATGAGAGTCAAATAATAAAATAAAACAATAAAATTCTCACTATGTATGTATGTTGAACTTATTTCGCACCGTATGTAGCCAACTGTGCTAAATCGGAAGTGAGGGACCCGTGTAAGAACGTATTGTATGATAATCCACGGCGAGTTGAATTGCGAAAAGCACGTGACGATTGGGTGCCAGTGCATTTGAAGGGAAGACCGGAACGCAAACGGCTATCGACCTTCTTCGTCTTGCTGCTCCATACAGACAATGGTGAGCAGCGTTTGTCAACAAAGAGTAACGCAGGAAGAGTTGAGCCGCTGCATTTAAATTGATAATTTAATCTTCATGGACAACAACAGATTGCATGTATCCCAAAGTAGAGTGCATTGTATCAAAGAAATGAAAACCTGTGAGTTTGTCCATGTAGGTGATGGCCTCTAAGATGATGTGAATGTGACCACAGGTTGGGACTGCCGGTGAGACCAAGCTGGGGATTTAAATACAAAAAGAGCAGGAAAAGAGTTCAACACCCATAGTCGATGAGAGTAAAATGTCAGAATATTATTACGATTCTCGACAATCGGTGAACATCAGCGACCTTTGTTGAAGATAAACTGAGGATGGGGATTAGTTACCATCTCTCATTCACCCATTGGGGTTGCGAATTTCATGTTTTCTGCGACGTTTGAGATCAGAGACCCACCTTTTACCCGTCTGTAGGACCTTTTTGCCAGTGTCAAGATATAACTGCTCTACCCGAGCTATAAGTCTTCTGATGCTTGCATTGTCTTTGTGCTATTGACATTGCCAAAATATCATCGTCGCTCAATCACTTCAAATAAAGACTACGGGTCAGCCTGATGAGCCAAATCACCCAGTAGTCTCTTCCATGTAGCCTAACTCTCACACACACTCACATACACATACGCGCACATGTGCACACAAAAACAAACATGGTTTGTTGTAATATTCTTGGTTCTTTCGGTAAAGTCACATAGAAGGGAAACAATAAAATAATAGAAATATAAAACAATATTATTTTATTGTTTCCCTTCTACGTGACTTTACCGAAAGAACCACGAATATGAATCCCTGCAGTCACGAAAGCTTTAAATCAAAATGTATGGTTTGTTGAACTTTTGAATTTAACACTGGTGGTGAGACAAGGCCATAAAGAACGCTGTCTCTGGCGTAGGCCAATCAGTTGCAAGGACAATGCCATATATTATCAAATCATGTTTGTTTGCATGTTTTGCCACATAAAGTGGTTAATGCACACTTGATGCCTTGCAAAAGGGCATCTATTTTGGTGTTTGAACATCTTGACACCTCCTGTTTATTGCCAGAAATTGTCAAACCTATTCTTATGTTTTCCCTTTGCTTTTCCTGGTATTTAATTTGTATTGGTATAGCTGGTACATCTTATACGTGTTAGGTTTCTGTCCTCTCTATTTATCAAGCAACAAGCACTTCGAAACACTTTGTGAATTGCACTTTTTAGAAATGAATACTGATTGATTCATAGGTTAAGAGGATACTTCGATATTGTGCTGGCAAATTATTCAGTTTTATTTCCACGAGACCAGGTGCATATAAGATTGAGTGCCACTCGGGTGTTATTGGGTGCCTGTTGGTGTGCGTCTTGTGGCATTATCTATGAGAAAAAAATGTTTGCCAGTATCAAGATGATAATGGCATAGTTTACCAAAACTAGAGTTGGAGGCACTTTAACCCTGCTGATGGGGTTCCTTTTTGGGAAGCCAATGGTCTGT